ACATTATACAGTAGATAAAATATATATAAAAATATGCATGAAACGGTCATCATAGAACATATACAAAATGTTTTAGAGGCAATGTAGTACAAGACACCTTTGCTTTTATTTTCAGGGTGCATGCCTTTGCTGTGTGTGACACTGCGGAATATTTTCACTCTCATCAATGAGACTCTCAACAGTATTGGTTTAGGTGACACGGTGAGGTCACATGACATCATCAACATCCATGAGGGAGCAAAAGGACTAGGATACGGCATTTCAAAACCAGAGGAATTGGGTAAGAAAACAAATGTGACAAAAAAAAATGAGTTATTGTTGTATTTATAAAACTTCTTGTCTAGATAGTTCTGAATCTGAGTAGATACTGACAAAGGACCCCACTGGGGTATATACTATAGATATGATAGTAAAAACAGAGAATAAATACAAAATACAGTAGAACCCCCTCCTTTAGGACACCACCCCCTCCTATTAAAGGGACACTTTCTTTGGTACTGAAGCTGTCACAGGAAATGTGATAGTGTGTAGACAGTTCTTTTTACTGATTTAAAATATTTTTATTTTTTTAAAGAATTCATTAAAACAGTAGCCCAGCAGACTAGTATTTTGCTTGACCACACATACACTGGTAAATCAGCACTAGCACTGACCAACGAGCTCAGGAAACACAGGTCAAAGTTCAAAGGCAGCCGAATACTCTTTCTACATTCAGGTATGTATCCATGTTTGTGATTATTGAGGAAGGGCTGTAAAATTTGAGAATCCCTCCACCCTTTTATCTTGCTAAGGTTGCCATTCTTAAACACTCCTTATTAACATGCGCTGTGCAACATGGTAAAAACAAAGATAGTGTCTTGTTGTGCATGTGTTTAGAATACAATTTAATGATTATTGGTGGTTTGTATTTTTGTATGCAGGGAAACAGATGAACACATTCTGATGTTCTTTTTTTTTTTATGCATCAGGTGGAATATTTAGCATGTTTGATGGGCGGCTAGAAGATGTCCTGATGCAGTCAGCTGGAGAAACACTGGTACAGAACTGGATGAACCCTGAAGATGAACCAACTATTGTATGATGATACATTAATCATACAATAGTTGTTTGATGATACATTCATGAGGCTACGCTTCATGAATATCTTGTACCGCTGGAGTTGATGTATGATACACATATGAGGGCAGGCTTCATTCCTTTTTTTCCTTTAAATTTTTTTTTTACAGTTTATTGCACATACTATGGATTTTGCACTGTAACACTGCAATGCATATCTTGTAACACTGGAGTATACATGTTGATGGATCTACACACATGAGGGCAGGCTTCATGAAATATTGCTCAATTGGATGCAAATCTTAATATGCTTCAAATAGACTTGGATGAATAGTGTGCAGTCAAGGTGGCTGCACCAACGCCCAGTAAACAATTTAAATATCAGTTGATTTGCGTTAGGTGTTTACTATTTAACCTGTAAGCTGGGGTAGAGATTAGGTGCAAGACCAGGGTGTGTCCACACGCCAGTTGGCCATGTGTCAAACATCTTTCCTTTATGGGTCCTCAATTCCACCAAGTCACAGCCAACATTTGTCCCAGGCAATGTGTGATGCAATTATACACTCCTTAAACCCAATAATAAAAATTAGATGTTATGGTAGAAGAAAAATGTAATACTGTTACGGAGAATGTTTCTTTTACTTCAGTTTTTCATGTCTTCTAATGCTTGTTTAATGCAGGCCCCTGTTATTAATAGGATTATGGTCCATGTTTAATGTTTTAAATTTTTAAATAAGTATTTTTGTAAATTTTATATAATTCGGATTTGGATGCAATTTTAATGTTAATAAAAGAAACTGGAAAAACTGAATCTAAATAAAAGGCATTATTACATTATTCTAATATATGATGTCACCTGCTCATTATACTAACCTCATTAATATTTAACTAAAGTACGGTAGTTATTATTTTATATATAAAATGATAAATTGTAAACTATTTACCATATGGTGGCAAAAACATGCAAAGGTCCCCTTGACCACACCTTAGGGAATAGGAGTCAGGGGACGTGGATCTGGACTCACCAAGTCACCAAGGCCCAACAATTTCTATCCCCACCCCCTCTTTCTGCTTGCTTTCCCAGAACGTATGCCTCGAGCAATTACTGATAATTTACTTTTTTGCTTGATTTATTTGTATTTACCAGCTCTGTCCACACAATCAAATTTTCTTTTATAGCCTGATGTGTCTATATGTCCTGATGTGTCTATATGTCCCTGGTTCTTAATCCGCGGCCCGTATGCTTTCCCCGCGAGGCAATTTAATTTGGCACCGGATGTGCACGGAGTGGTTTGGAACAAGATTATATACGGTAGGCCATAAATAGAATAAATAGCGCCAAAAATTGATCACTGGGTTACTTTCTGTGGTCCTATTCTTCACTGTGTTCTAAAAACAAGCCAAAAGCGTGTTATTATTTAGGGGTTAAAATTAAACCCTGTAAACAGACCTATAATACAGGAACGTATCCAGCCCCCTTGTAAACAGTGTTAGATTTCTAATGCTTTTTTTTGCTAGCCAATACAAATTCTTTCCTGGGATCACTCAAAATGAATACTTTTAAAATATATAAATATGTAAACATTATTTACATATAATTTGGTGTTGATTTAAATGCTGTACAATTTCTAATTCACTCCTACTATAGGTCTAGGACCCGGGCTCTGAAACCTACTATAAACGTCTATCAATATAAGCCACCCGCTAACCTGATAGTAATCCAGTGGAATAGCCTATTCGTTAGATTAATTATTTTTTCACTATACACGATAATGCAAAAATTAAAATTTTTGGGTCTATAACGGCTACTGCTCAGTGGGTGGAAAAAATCAGCTTAAATTCGTCTTAAATCCATAAATCCCAGGACATGTCTTGTAAGATACAGAACTGTGATATTGTAATGTTCAGTTTGGTTTTTATCCTTTTGCAAGTGTTTATAAAGTTGTGTTACAGTAGTCGTACTGTAATAATGATGATGATGATGGTGATTATGAAAGACATTTTTAATTTTAAGAAAAAAAAATCAAAAGGAGGTAAAAAAAGCGCACACAACAGAATGAAAAATAGATATGTATATTTATATATATGTATATCTATATACAGTATATATGTATATGTATGTATAATATATAAATTATATGTATATGCTATATATATATATATTATATGTATATGCTATATATATATATATGTATATCTATATACAGTTTATATGTATATATATAAATTATATGTATATGCTATATATATAAATGATATGTATATGCTCTATATATATATATATATATATATATATATACATACATATATATATCTATATATACATACATATACCTGTATCGATATAATAAAACACTGGAAGAAAATCATCATTTTATCATGTACACTTTCACAGAGGTGGAGGGGGTTGGCAAAAAGAGTATGTTTTGTACTCTTGTGAAAATGATGAAAATAATGGATGACCCCTAATAGATAATAATAGTAATAATATTAAAATTTGTTGGCGCTTCATTTTGACTATATTATATAATGGTGATGTGATGATGATTTTTTCTATATAAAAGCGTCATTTCCGGCCATCTAGAGGCAGGCACTATTTCCTCAAATTTTCTAACCTCAGCCCCAACCCTATGGTTGCCGAAAATCCCTAATAAACGATCATGAGGCGCTTTATTTTTATGCAGATAACGATAAATTTTACTAAAAGTTTCATTTCTGTCCATCTAGTCAGTGCATATATTTGTTTTCATTAGGTGATCTGGTTTTTCATGCCCATTTTTCGTGATAATGACTATTTTGGATAAAGAATGTTTTGAGCAGTGGCAGATTCAAGCCTCCCATTCACCTGTATCTTTTATATTTTTTTTAATGGAAAAATCCCCCCCCCCTTGTACCCCACAGGTCCCTGGCTTCCCCCAACCGTAGGAAGGGAAACAACCTCACCCCTGCTTGGTACCACGTAACTCGCATAACGGTTCTTCCCCCTCCCGCCCCTTTCAGAGTCCTGTCCCTGTATAAAAATAACTCCCAATGTTGGTATTAATTATTATTTAATAAGCTGTGCTAAATTTAACATAGTATCACAGGAGGAAGTAATAACTTTATCAAATATTAAAAGAATTGCATGCGTCTGATGCCTGATTCATGACCTATGGTAGAAGAAGCCCATTGTTATAAATCATAGAGGTAAAAAGGTTATTGGGTTTCATCGTCAATAGCATTCGTAAGCGTACTATTTTGCATGATAATAGACAGTTAATGAACCAAAGAACAGCGCTTATAAAAATATATTTCGATTGTCCTGC